CCAGCCGAAACACGCCGAGGTTCTCCGGGAGGGAGAAGCGGTTCCCGCTCCTGCCCTGGGCCACTTCCTTTCTGGTTCGCTGGGGTTCCTTCCCACGTACTCGTCCAGCTTGCTGTGCCCTTTGGGTCCGTGTCTCCTCGGTGGGCAGCCTCTGGGATGCACTAGCCCCACCAGCCTCTTTTGGAGCCTCCGGTGACAGCTGTGCGGGAGCTCCTTTCCCAGGTCCTTCTCCTCCGGCTGCCACCTCTGACTGAGTTCTTGCTCAGGCTTTTATAGTGGCGCTACAGCCCGGGCATGCTCAGTAGGGCTGCGGGGGAGGGGCCTCTGCAGCCAGGTAATCCTGGCTGGGCCCTGTAGGTTCAGTGCGGGGCTGCCTCGCCCCGTCACAGACCGTGACATGCAAATGAGCGCTCTATTTGCATTTGCTCTTTCGCAAGAGGCTCGTAGTGTAGACATAGTCTTGCTGACAAGAATACTGTGGGAGACCATATCAAAAGCTTTGCTAAAGGTATATTCACATTCACTGCCTTCCCCACATCCGCCCTGGACTCCTTTGCCCTCCCGCCCCTGTTGGTGGGCCTCTTATCCAGTCTCCCTAGTCTGGCACGCGCCGGAAAACATGCTCCATTCTCTTTAGAAAGACATGTTAGAGGAGTGGGGTTTTCAAATGTCACTTGCTACGGTTGGGTGCAAGGATTTGGCTGGAAGGGGTGAGCAGGGAAGGGGAGGGAGTGGAGAGGGGGTGTGGCCTGGTCAGAGTGGGGGCGGGGCCTGGTGGAGCAGGGACGGCATATGGGCGGGGCCACAGGCTGGAAGCTTCCCCCTCTGCCCATGGTAGCCACCTCCTATCCACCTGGCCTTCCTCTCCGAGGAGCCGGGAAGTGTTCCACTTCTCCAAACGGCACCCACTCTGGGTGCAACTGACCCCCCGCTGGCCCCTGGGGCATGTGCAGTATTGCAGTGAGGTGCACTGAGTTGTGCCTACAGGCGGAGGCTCTGCTAGTGGCTCTTTGGTAAGCTCATAAATGTGTCCCTCTGTCCAGCACCCCCTGCTGGGGCAGAAGCAGAAGAAGGCGCGCCAGGAGCCCACGCTGGAAGCCAAGCCCAAGAAATTGAAAGTGAAAAAGTTGGACGCCCAGAGCCCCGCAGAGGAGCCCAGTGCCCCCTCTCAGAGTAAGAGATGCGTGCGACTCCACCACAGCCAAGGGCAGGCAGCCCCGCGGACCTGTGAATGGGCGTGGAGACATCGGGGAGGGCTCCAGGGGAACTGAGTCACGCACCCAAAGGCAGCCCGCACCAGCGGCCCTCCCGGCTGTGCGCTACCTGATCCAATGACCCTTCTGTGCTTGCTTCCTGCCTCTCTCCTTGTCTCTGGCAGCGCAGGGGCAGCCGGCATAGCTCTGGGGGGGTGCCCAGAACAAGGGGCAGGTCTGTATGCCTGTTCCCACACTGGGACTGGGACCTGCTGGCTGTGCCGGTAGGAGCCCCCCAGAGCAGCTGGGCTCTTGCAGGCTGCTGGAGCTCTACCAGCAGAGGTCAAGCCTCACTGTTCTGCCCGTCGGCACCTTGTGGCAGGGGGGGGGCGCACAGACACACCTCCCGGCATTTAGCCTGGCTCAGTGTCTAAGCTTTGCCTCCAAGACACAGGCCCATGCTCTGTGTATTTCCTGCAAAGGCAGGAGAGCAACTGTATTGGACTACAAACAAGACCCCTAAAGACATGGGGGGACCCATATATCTGCCCTCCCCCCCTCTGAGCTGCCCCCTCTGGAAGCTCACGCCCCTACCCCCGTCCTGTTTCTGTCCTCACTCTGGCCGCTCTCCCAGCTGTCAGGAGACTGCGGAAGAAGAAGGAGGAGAAAGGGGAGGAGGAGAGCGAGAAGCAGCCCTATCTCAAATCCACCAAAGAGCCCAGGAAGAAGAAAGAGAGTCCCGCCTTGCACGTCAGTGTGGCCAAAGCCTCTAAGAAGAAGCAGGGTAAGAGGGTGCTGGTTCCCTTCCCATGGGGTCTCTCAGTTCATGCCCACCACCCCCAGCCCTAATCCACATCAATCACACAGCTGCCGACAGGCCACAGGCTCATGCCCATGTCACAATCCCGCCACACGCTTGCAGCCCAAACCCAGGCGCCGTGCGCACGTGCCACAGCCCCAGTGTACCCTCACGTCCCCATCCCAGCCAAATGCAGCCCTCCCAATCCAGCACACAGCCCTGCACGCACACAGCTCTGCACACAAACGTGGCCTTCACAATCCGGCACACGGCCCTGCCCAGATACCACAATCCCCCAAATCACGTGGCAGCATGCAAACACAAACCAGCACAACTGCCAGTCCTGTCTAGCCCTCCTGCATCCCAGTCTGTCTGGAAGCCCTCTTGGAAAACGCTCTCCCCCGCCCCTAAAATACAGCGACAGCCGCGTCCTGGGGACGTCCCAAAGCCCGGCTTTCGGAGGATTGCACACAGCGGGCAGGTGGCTGTTGAGGTTTTGGGCCCTGTTTTAGTGCCCTCCCTCTGCCTATGAGATCCGTTTCCCAGACAAATAGTTCACCCTCCCACCAGCTCCTGCTCCTTAGTGGCTGTCTAGGGGCAATTACTGTAACCCCCCATCTCCTCTTTGCGGGAGGGAAGGGAGGAGGCGAGGGGCAGAGCCGAGGACTGCGTAGACCACACAGAGGCAGCCAGACGGTCACTAGGTGGCAGCCTTGAACCACAGCCTGTCCCACCCCGTGGCTCACACGTATGGTTATTTTCTAAAGGCTGTTTCCTAAGCTGCTGTTTCCTGCAGGGTAAACTCCTGGGGTAAAGTGCTCTAGACACCAGGGGAAACATCCCTGCATTTCCAACCAGGTTTGAAACTGGTTCAGCTGGTGCCATGCAGGCCCAGGGTTAGCCTGAACCGGTTCTCAAAGAAGTGTGAATCTGGTGAGGGAGGGGAGATCCAGCATGGGCCCAGTGAAATCAGAGCAGCCCCCCGGGCTACAGAGGTTTTGAGAACACACTTACGCGTTCTTCTTTCCTGGATCCTTCCCCTTTACACTGGCAGGCCAAGCCAGTTAGAAACCAATTTTACAGGATTCGTGATCAAGTTTGGTTTGAGCCCTGGCATGAACGAGGCTCCCAGATACTGGAGGGGTGAGGTGAATGCAACGGGTGACGTAAGGCCTGGGGTAGGTATAGGCCCCATGCGAGTACCCCGCTGTGGAGAAAGTTCCTCTGAACAGGACAGGCAGAGCCGTTGCTGCAGCTGCCCATTAACGTGGCTGTTTTTCTTTAATCTCCTCGTCCCCTCTCGGCTCCCCACTGAACTTCCAGCCGACTCGGAGGAGGAGGAAGAGGAGGAGGCGGAGAATGACGACCCACCCAAAAAGCCCAAAAAGAAACCGCCCAAAGACATCCCAGCTAGAGAGAGCAAGGAGAGAAAACCCAAGCTGAGAGGTCAGCAGCAGGGGAAGGGACTGCAATGTGGAGGTGAATGGGGGTGTGAGAGGAAGGAGGGTCTAGTGGCAATGTGCTAACCTAGGACATGGGGGGCTGGTCAATTCCCTGCTCCTCCGCAGGCTCCGTGTGTGACCTTGGGTAAGTTACTCGCTGCTTCTGAGCCTGGGTCTCAGCTCTGTGAATTTATGGGGGGGGGTGTCAGGGCCGATGAGGGGTGAGACCGTGAGGGTGAAGGTGGGCTGTATGGCACCATAGTTCACAAAACTGGGGGGGTGTTGGGGAAATTTGGGGGGGTATACACTCCCATGGGGGGGGTAGGGAAATATCTGGCTGGGCTGGAGAGAGCTGGTGGTGCTTTGCCTGGCTTTGGGATTCCTCCACTGTCTCCACAGGGCGGGCAGACAGCCCCGCACTGAGTCACTGGCTGAGCTAAGCTTCCCAAGCCTGAGATCATGCATGGAGGGGGCATGAAGCTCTTCCCAGTCCAGCTCTCCCCCGAGTCCCTCCCGGCCGTGCCGCCCGGTGCCTCGCCGGGGGCGCTGTTATCAGTGCGGGGAGTGTCTTCCCCGTCACACTGTCCCTGAGGTCACGTCCCTGGGTCCAGGGCCACCCTACCAGTGCCTGTGCCCTGCCCAGCCCAGCACCAGAACCCCCCTCTGGGGGAGGGAGTGGCCCCTCCGCGTGAGGGGGACTGAAGCTGTGGGGGAAAGGGGTAGCCTACTGTACCATGCTGGATGGACTGGACACCATTTACTGCAGCGACCTCTAGTCTGGAAGAGCTGGCAACCTGGAGCATGGCCAGAGGGAGACCCGGACCGGAGGACTCCCGAGTAGCAGCAGGTGGCTGCACAGTTGGCCAGAGAAGCGGCGTTTGAAGGGGAACATGCTGGACTGGTGCTGAGCCGGGGGATAGGGCGGGAGGTGGCCAGAGCCCATACGTGGCTGCTTAGGGCCCCGTGACCTTTGGGGCAATTTTGTGGTGCCCTACACGGCTGCATGTTCTGCATATGGATAGGGACGGCCCTGCCTGTGTCGCGCTTCTCTTGTCTCCCCCCTGCCCCGGCTATGTCCCCACAACACATCTGGCTTTCCCCGTCTCCCCTTCCCTTTCGCTCCTTTCTCCCTGGCTTGTCCCCACTCTTCCCCATCCTCTCTTCCTCATCGCTTATCCCTCACTAGCCCTTCTGCCATCCCCACACTGTTTCCAGCACTCCTCTCTCCCCCCCGCCCGCTGTTTCCCGCTTTCCCTTCCCCCTTCCTTCTCTCTCACCGGTTTTCTCTGCCGGGACAGGAGACAGAAGTGAGGGCGATGCCAAGACCCGAGCTGCAAAGCCCACGAAGAAGGAGCCGACATCTATGTTCCAAGTGAGCGGGGACAAGAAGGAGAGAAAAGGCAAAAAGAAAGGTGACAGGCAACAGGTGCCCATACAGCCCCTGCTCCCCGGAGCTCTCCTCAACTCAGGGCTCCTGAGGCGTTGCCATTGGTACCACGGGCGTCCTGGGGATGTGGCTCAGGCTGTGTGAGAGATTGGGGCCAGGACTGAGTTATGGGCTAAGAGGGGCGAGAGCCCATAGCCCCACCAACAGGCTGGGTCAGGGGTCAGTACTCGGGTGGAGACCTCCCCGGAAAACCCTGCTGGTGCATTAGCAGGGGAAGTGCCTGACCTGACCCGGTGCCGGCCCGGTTGCCCTGGCACGTTGCTAGGAGTGCAGTGCAAGCTCTGGGGGATCAGTAACAGGCCCGTGGCACGTCTGTGAGTATGGGGGTGCAAACCAGATCTCAGTCCCCTGCAAGATGCCATCTTCACTTCCCTAGCTAGCCATGGCTTTGAGATTCTCTGCTGTAAGGCACGGCCCTTAGCACCGGGGCCCCTCTCTCGAGTGCACGTGTCTCCCCCGCAGCCGCAGCCGTCATGAGCAGCGAGGCGGAAGACGACTCGGATTCCAGCACCAAGCCAATCAAACCCGACCCGAAAAGGGACACAGCTTCCATGTTCCAGGCAGGCGGTGACAGCCACAGGGAGAAGAAGACCAAAAAGAAAGGTGGGATCAGAAGGGGACGAGTCCCATTGCTCAGGGCCAGCGGCAGGGCAGCACATGGGGCAAGCTGGAGGGGATTCTTGTGGGGCGTATGGTTGGGCTCTGGAGGAGGAGGCTGTGTTGCCCTCTACTGGCTTATATAACTAGTGGACTCGGCCGTGTCCTTTGTGCAGAGAAGCCACAGAGGCTGTTTGTCCAGGCAGCAGCTCAGGGAGTTAGGACCCCTCACTCTCCCATTGCTGGCAGTGTGCCCACCACATTGCTCCAGAAATGACCTTGCTGTGTGGGTGACTGAAAATGCTCTGCTCCAGGACAGCAGGCTGTGCTGAGGGTGGCCGCTGCATCCATAAATCAATCCCCGTGGCACCAGCAACGGTGCCCTCCACCTGCCAGTGGTCTCAGCTCCTGCCTCCCCTCCCGCTGCGATGCCGGCGGAGCTGGGCCGATGGGGTCTGGGCCGCAGAGCGGGGGATACCCACTGAGCACCGTGTGCATTTCTATCCGCAGCTCTCCCCAAAGCCACCGGAGAGCAGAGCGAGGGGGAGGCCTCGGAGAGCCCTCCGAAGAACTCCAATAAGAAAGGGAAAGGAAAGAAGGCCAAGAAGGTAAAAGGCTGACCAGTCGGGGGCTAACGGGGCAGGGCTGGGAATGGGGTTTTCTCACAGCCTCCTTCGCCTCTGAAGAGCAAACCCCAGCGGCTGCCTCAGCAGTAGGGCTTGAAGACGCTGCCTGCTGTTAATGCTACAGGAGGGTGAGAGGTTGGGGAGGCAGCCCATCTCGCCGCGAGGGACCCCAGAGAGAATGGAGGGTGGGCTGTAGAAAGGGGCCCAGGTGGAAGAGAAAAGTTTGCCCCAGCAGATTCCCGCACCATCCGGGGAAAAGGGGATACCCCAGCAGGTTTCTGCAGTGGCCGAGGGGGAGAGGGTGACCTCAGCAGGTTCCTATGGTGGCTGGGGGACTGAGGCCAGAGAAGGGAGAGGCTGAGGTGCCTGGGTCCCAACTGGCCAGACCCAGGAAGCTGTGACTGAAAGGAAGGGGAAAGGCGCCAATGCAAGATGCGGTCGGGCAGGCTGCTGGCATATGCACCGTGGCGAGTGCACATCTGGCTGCTAACGCTCTCTCTCCGAACAGCCCTAGAGCAGCGTGTGCCTGTAACGAGCCCTCCCTAACGCCCTCTCCCCTTTCCGTTCTGGGTGCTGGGCCACAGAAGGAGGAGAGGCCGCCTTCCCCTGTCATCGAAGTGGACAGCCTGGAGGACTTTGTGCTGCAGCCGGCTCCTCAGGGCGTGACCATCAAGTGTCGGGTCACTCGAGACAAGAAGGGGATGGACCGGGGCCTCTACCCTACGTACTACCTGCACCTGGACAACGAGAAAAAGGCAAGCAGTGAAATAAGGTCCCAGCCCCTCACTCGGGGCAAGCGTGCCGGGGAACGGTTTTCCAACCCCCCAGAGCTTTTGAGGCTCTGAAATGGGGCAGAAAGTCCCCATCTCAGAAAACGTGGCGAGCCAGGGATCGTTTCGGCAGGCGGCAACTGAAGTTTTGCTTTTCGAGAACTTCGAAACAGTCTGTTTTGACTTGCACTTGAAACTTGGTTTTTAACCTGGTGTTAGCTGATTTGACAGAAATGTCAAAAGGGAAAGTCATCTTGAATGGAAAGTGACATGTGTCGAGCTGGAACTGCGCAAATGGCATTCTGGCAGCTTCAGGGTCTCTTCCTTTGAATCGGGGAAGATCAATTGAAACTGTTCTTTTCTTGGGCCCCAAAACCATTTTGCTGGAAAATTCCCAGTCAGCTCTACTTGGGACACTGCAAGCCAGACAAAGCACTTGAAAATATACTCTGCCTATGCAGAGGGGAACAATGGCCTAATGGGTGAGAACCATCCCTGGTGTAAACCCATTGCAGTCACTGGAGTTACACCAGGGCTCAGCTTGTTTCCCATCTCTCCCACCTGATATGCTACGGGGGTTCCCGCTCATCGCTCCGGACTATGGGTGTGTCTAGACTACACAGATCCCCCTCTAGACTGCCGCGTTTTGCCGACAAAGTGCTGAGTCGGCAAAACGCGGCGGCCATTTTTATGCAAATTAGGCACAGGATATTTAAATCCCTGCCTCATTTGCAGTGCCGACCTGCCTAATCCGCATCCCTCTGCCGACAGAGGGATGCAGTCTAGACATACCCTTTGAGCACATCTGTACCCATGTGTGAATACAAGGCCTGGCACAGAACCTAACTCCAGGTAGTGGAGGGCTTTCGAGGAGCTGGGCCTAGGCCGACTGACCCACTCTTTTGGGGAGTGTCTCCGTTTGAGAGACCCAGTGATGTCATCGCAATCGACATTGTGTCACAGCCTGGTGACAGATGGCCGCCCCGCCGCCCTTGTATCATGATGTTCTGATGCAACCGTGCAAATGTCACAATACTGGGACTCACAGGCTTATCCAGTTGACAAACCAGAATGGGTGAGAGGCCTAGAACCGCCCTCCCCAGAGAGTTGAAAAAGACCCCTCGGGGGTCGTCTGTCCCACACATGAGTTTAGTGATTAGTCCTGATGATGTGAGCTGCCTCGCCATTCCCATCTCTTGTGGCAGCGGGTCTAGGTCCAGCCCCTTTGAAAGCTCCAAGCTTCTCCTATCTGTTGGCGGTTTCCTTGTGCCAGGGAAGGTAACGGTCATGGGAGGTGGTCGTCCTGGAGACAGGCAATCTCTGTGGTAATGAAGGCCAGTCATCAGGAGGGCTGTGCATAACAGGACAGTGGCCTTGACCTGAGCTCTGTACCTACCGGGGAGACAGTGCACCGCATGCTGTATTCCCAGCAGCATGAGCGTGTTTTGGGCTTGATAGAGCTTCTTCATGGTGTGACCTGAGTCCTGTTGCCCTGAGTTGCTCAGCCCCTGTAAACCGGCCCCTTCCTTCCCGTCTCTGACTAGGGTTGCGAGGTATTCACCTGGACAGTCCAGTATTTTTGCCTCCTGTCCAGTAAAAAAATATGTCCGGTATGTTCTGATTTTTTCCCTGGCCAGGAGGCGAAAATACTAGGCATCTGCATTCACTTTTAAAGAGGACATGCTGTTTTAATGCTGGGTTTTTTTGGATTTTTTTTCTCAACAACTTCGGTTCCCCCCCCCCTTTTTTTTCCCCCTTCAACAGAACTTTTTTCCTGGTGTTTTTTTTTTGTGGGGGGGGAGGTGTTCAGTATTTTTGTTTCAACCATCTGGCAACCCTATCTCCGACAGGTGTTCCTGCTGGCTGGTCGGAAGCGGAAAAAGAGCAAGACCTCAAACTACCTGATTTCCATTGATCCCACTGATTTGTCCCGAGGTGGGGAGAACTTCATTGGGAAGCTGAGGTATGAGAAAGTGGCACAGGGCAAAACTGGTTTCTGCGTGGGCCACCTGTTTCCATGAGTCCAGAGCAAATTCCCCACAGGGGAAAGGATAAGGGGTGAAAATATCTATTATATTGCAGCGTCAGGCCTATACAAGGGGAATCGGGCCAGCCTAGGTCTGCTGCCTGGGCTCTCTCCTGCATTCTGCTGTTGCTGCTGCGCTAAAGTTCGATCTATTTGGGATTCTGTCAAACTCTGGCTTAGCAAACGCTGCCGCACAGTGAAGCAAATGCTCTGCAGCGAGTGGAGGGCTCCAAGGCCCATCCTTACAGACAGAACGTGGCAGCAAATGTTGGGAAGGATGGGGAGTGTGCACATCCGGGTCACAGGTTCAGAGCCAGTGGTCCCAGGAAGCCGGGCCCTTGTGCAGACAGTCAGGAAAGATTCCAGTGCCACCCAGCTGACTAGCAGAGCACCCAGCACGAGGTTTGTGTTTCTACTGGAGGCGCACATTGGTGCAACCGCTAACGGGAAGATTTGAACCTTAGTATAGGAGCCTCTCCCCTTGGAGCGAAAAGCCAGCTGGCTCCCAGCCCATGCTGTAGAAGTCTCTTGTTCTTAACTGATGCTGTGGTCTAGGTGCCACTGCATGGGACAGTGAACCACACTAGGTGTGTGGGTTACATTGGCAAATGCCTCAGTGCACATAAAATTTATTCCACACATGGATGTAAAAGATTAGAGGGAACATTGTTCAGATCCTGCCCTGATTGGCTGGTGACCGCTTTCACTCATTACCAATGTCAGTTTGGTAGCCTGTGAGGAGAGGAGGACTCCAGTATCCAGGGCTGTTCATCTGTCTCCATTCACTGGCACTACATCAATATCAGAAGATAGTAGGGCAGGCATGGTCCTTCCCACCCTGCTCCCTCGCTCCCTGGGCTCAGGGGTAGTTTCCCCGTGTACAAACCCTCCTTTCTACATGAAGATGTGACCCAGACTGCACCGCTCCGCTTTCCAGTGGATTAGTTGGCTTCTTACTTAGTCAGGCCCTGCCCTGCCAGTGTAGGGCGGAATCTGGCCCTTCGATGGCAGAGTGGGGAGAACATGTCACCCATGGCCGGGGCAGGGGGAACAGGTCTTGCACTGAATCCTTCAGTTAGCTGGAGGAATGAATCCCACACAGAAAACTGTTGGAGGGAGGGGCCGCAAGGCTGGCCGCTGCTTGGAAACACAAGGAGCCGGAGGAGGAGTGTGTATTGTTTCTTGGGCGCATTGTTAGGTTGCCACTTCCCACCACGGCCCAAGGATTGAGGCCTTCTGCCTTTGCCGCTGGGGGGGTCACAGCTTTTCTGGCTGGAACTGGAGGCCCATCTTACTAGATCTGGCCTCCAGACTGTCGCTGGGGGGCAGGGAGGGGAAAACTGGCTTGTCTAGTTCTTTCTGAAGGGGAAGGAGGCCACCCCTTGAGGGTGCCGTCAGCAGGGAGGAGCCAGGCGCATCTCAGCCAGCAGCCCTCACTGCCGGCCAGAGGAGTTCACCGGGGACTGCTGGAGCGAGGGGAGGGGCAGATGTGCGGAGGGCAGCTCAGAGACTGGCTCCCAAACCAGGAGGAAGCGCTCTGCTCAGTTGCCGACATGGCAGGAATTAGCTCCGTGCAGTTCAGTGCATATCCGAGGCTGGCTGCCTCAGGCCCTACCCCGCTGCCTGGTGCTCCAGCGGGGAGAGCAGGGGAAGCCCCAGCACCCCGGCCTACTCCCCAGTGAAAGCGCTGAGAGGGCTGGCGGGGGGTGGGCCTGAATACGAGTGGGTGGACCATGGCCCAGTCCGGCCCAGCTGTGGCTATGCCCCTGGCATAGGCTAAACACTGTGGCCTGCGAGAGGTTTTTTTTTACTGATGCCCACACGCAGGGTTGCCAGACTCTGCTGGTTTCCGTCACATCGTTTTTTCTCACCGGTGTTACTAAAGTGACAGGCGGCAAAGCCAGGACACGGGAAGGGAGGTGCAGCCTGGTTGCCCACAGCACTGACTGTGAGAGCCGGGCGCTCCCTCTGCAGCTAATCCCAGCGCTGCTACGGTTCAGTCCGCACCCCCTGCAAATTCTAGGGACGCCAGCGCAGAGAGCAAAACGGTCCTACCCCGGGAAAGCGACTCGGTTCTGACGATCTGGCGCCCTTTGGCTCTCTCATGCAGCCCACTCGCTAGCCTCGGTTGCCCATTGCTGTGCCGGGCACTAGACTGGACGGGGAGGCGTGTGGAAGAGGCAGCTGGGTCTGGAGAGAGCTAAGGAGCATTTCCGTGCTTTGGGGTCTCATGTGGCCCGACAGAGCCTGGTCTGGTGCAAGTTGTTCCCTGGCAGAACACAGCACCCTTCCCCCTCCCCGTTAATCAGGTGCTTGTCCGTAAGTGCCCAACCTTGGCGGACTCCAGTGGAGCAGAGCTGCTCCTCTTGTTCCAGAGCTTTGGGGGACCACTGCAAGCACCCAGTGTCCCTCCACCCCCACTGGCCTCCCTATGATTGTGCTGCTGGGGGGCATCTGCTCAGATACCCTTTTGCCATGATACTCCTTTCATAGCAGCACAGTAACCAGAGGGGTAACCTAAGGAAGGGCAAATAGAGGATGTGGGAGGGGAGAGGGGTGGGAAATATCCCGTTCCTCAGTCTGATCTTCTGTTTCGGGATGCAGATCCAATTTAATGGGGACTAAGTTCACCGTGTTTGACAATGGAGTGAACCCCGACAGAGCGAACGCCGACTGGTCCAACGTGCGACAGGAGCTATCGGCCGTTGTGTATGTAAGTCACTGATGTGGGCCCCTTCCACCCGCCCCAGGGAGAGAGCTGCACTCACTGTGCCACCTCCCACAGCGGCTGCCCGTGGCCTGTGCCCATTGCAATCTGGGCCAGACGCAGTGACTCCTGGATTCACGGCCAGTAAACCCAGCGGTCCTGAGCTCTGCCCTGCAGAGCGGAGGTGGCAGTCAGGCAAGCTTCTCCATACATGCAGCCCAGCCGTGCTGTCTCCTGTGGCTGGGAGACAGGGTTGTATGGGGCACTGCCAGGGGTCCAGGACCTGACAGTAGGATAGGGAGTCCAGACACATGGGTCAGAAAACAGCGGCTAAGTCTTGGAATGGGATGTTTGTCCCTGCTCGGGATGTGAGAGCCTCCAGTGACTTACTCAGGCGCCTGCTGGGGCTTCTGTTTCAGGAGACAAACGTTTTAGGGTTCAAAGGACCCCGGAAGATGACCGTGATCATCCCTGGAATGAATTCGGACAATGAGCGGGTACCAATCCGGCCCCGAAACGTAAGTTGGCACAACAGCGAGCAATGCTGGAACAGGATCCCCCCCCATGGCGTAGCCCACTTCTAGCAATAGAGATGCAGTCGTGTTAGTCTGGCATATCACACACACATGCCCTTCCAACCCTCAGAGCCACCCGGAGCATGTCTCTCTCTCTCTCTCTCTCTCTCTCTCTCACACTCACACTCACACTCACACTCACACACACACACACCCACCCACCCA